TTTTTGTACTGTTTCCAACTACAGTGATGCCTCGCAAGACGAATGCCTCACACAACGAAAAACTTGCAAATGAAAGCGTTTTGCGATTTTTTTTTTGTGACACAAGGCAAATTTTTCTATGGCCGTGCTTTGCAAGACGAATAGGAACGCATTAATTAAATTTCAATGCATTCCTATGGGAAACCGCTCTTCGCAAGATGAAGGGGTGGGATTGCAGGTAGATGCTGTTACTCAAGATGTATGTTCACTGCCTACTCTGGAGGCTCCTGTGTAGTCACTTTCATCATTAGACAGCTTTTGAGGGCCAACGGATGGGAAGGGGAAGTCTTCAGTCATTGCCACCAGGATGACTTGCACAAGAAGATTTCTGCTATAGACTTGTAGAACTGGAAGGAAGATGAAAGGTAATTCAGTTGGACTTCCTGCTAATGCAGGCAATGAGAGTTAGTCTGAGTGCAGGATTTGGGAGATCAATATTCTTTCTTATTATCTTTATCCCCAGGTACTTGATGAAAATGTCTGAACTCTTTGAGAAACTCAGGGTAACTTTGTTTTATTTGTTAAATACTTACCATTTTTCTTTAGCAAATAATAGTGGTAGATAATATAACTATTAAAAACAATGAAAGTAAACAAGTAGAAGTCAATGGCATAATCTTTGAAAGTACTTGTAGAATACAAAACAATAATTATTAACTAATGTCAGTATATATATTTTTAGGGATCTTTCTAAACAGCAAGGTTCTTACCATTCCCCAAACATCATAAAAGACAGAGTGTATAATATGCCTTGTTTATCTGAATGTGCAAACAAATTCTTATGGTAGAAGGTGGTCCTACGCATCCTTCTCTAAACAACAATGGGCTTTAAAGGTCATTGCCAGCATTTTTACAGAGCCTAGAAATCAGTACATCTGTCAACAATACTCCCATTTGATCTGTCTGCTACACTCTGAATCTGCCTAGATTTCCAAAGACCCTTCAGAGACTTACAGTGAACCATAGTAGATAAAAAGAGATAGAGCTAGGATGTGCAATAACCTGGCCAGATCTGTAGTGGCACACCAGCCTAAGCTGAGAAAAAGTCATACTTGACCACAGCTGGCATCTGACCATCCATGATAAAAGATTGCCCCAGAACTATTACGTTCTTGTGTTTAAGGGAGGTGCAGCCCAGTCCAACACATGTTGTATTTTTTATTCCTGGATTAGCAGCCCTGATGACATACAGTATGCATGCCTTCTAATAGTCCCCTCACACTTACATATGTCTTGCTGGGATGTCCTCATTGCTGAAGAGCACAGGTCTTTCTGTATAACCAAATCTGTGCTCCATCAAATATCAATCCTATGTACCGTTTTTTCAAAACACAGTAACCTGGTACCTGTTAATGTACAGATTTTAATTGGGTGGGTGACTTCTACTGGATGGTTATCTTTAAAAAAATATTGATTGAATTATTAGGTTGTGTTACTGATTAAAAATATATCCTATGTTTGCAACAATTATTTGTGATGCAATATAACCTAGCTGACATTTCCACATGCCTACCGACTGACCTGTTGTTCTGTGTGAATTAAGCTTCAGTTATTTAGCCCATCTCCAGACCCTAATGACTCCCTAAGCACCGGTACGTACTCTCAACAGCCTTCCCAGACTGAGAGAGAGAAGGTCACTATATAGGTAATATTATACTCGGCATTCTTGGATGACTTTGAGCTGTGGTTTTATATACATGTCAAACAACTTGGTGACAGCATAGATCCTCAAAGGAACCCAATAGGCTGACCTTGGTTTCAGACAGAAGTCCATCAGCACCACTTTCTTGAGTTACGTGGGAAGGACCAGAAACACAGTAACACTCTGGCCGCGTGATCCAGAAAAATTGCTGTGATTCATGGTATTGAAAACCAAATGAACTTTTCCTGCCTAGTTCTCAGTTAGACCATCTGCCAGGGCAACCAAATGTGTTTTATTTCAAAACCAAGTTCACACAGAGGTTGGCATTGATTGTTTAATTTATTTCTGTCATTCTTTGTAAATTTGAAGGCCATCTATGTCCTTTTAAAAAAAAGATGCTACAGAAGTTTTAACACATTAGACCTTGTAATTAGCGTCATCAGTGATTCTGTCATCTTCTCTGTAGAAAGTAGAGAATCGTGTTTCTTCTGATGAAGATCTGAAACTGTCAGAGTTACTAAGGTATTATATGCACAATATAGAAGCAGCAAAGGTAAGCCTTCTCTAAAAATTTTCTGATGCTTGTCTTAGAATGATTTGCTGAACTGTAATTTCAATGAAGAATAATGCAAAAAGTAGCAGTGTTTAGAATACGTAGGGTAGCAACTGGAACTTCCAGGCAGAGGGGAGGACTTTGCTCCTTCTACCACTGATGATCACAAGGCAAGTGGAGCTTGGAACTGAAAGAAATAAGAGCCCCTTTAATGTATACTGAGTTGACAGAGGGGAAACCACGACCCCCTCCAAGGACTGTTGCCATTTTCCTGTGTGGCAAGCAGGGATGGATGCCAAGATACCTACAGTAGAGATGGGCATGACCCTGGGTTCAGAGGTTTGCGCTGGTCTGTATGCATAGCCCCACGGGTGCACCACAGACATTCCCTTCCCTCACCTCCCCAGGCAGTGACCCACCCACTAGTCAGAATGGCCTCCTTTCCCACTCCACTTCAGCTGTTCATCCAGCCCTGGCAGGAGCACAGGGTTCCTTGTCTTTGCCGCCGCCTCTGAATGGGCAATCGGCTAAGGAGACAGAGAAGCCTGGTCGAATAGCTCAAGAGGAGGACGAGAGGCATGCACATTGGCTAGTATTTGGAGGAGCCAGCTGGGGAAGTGGGGGAAGGCAACACACAGCACCAGTGGTGCTGTGCATATGAACTGGCACAAACCTCCGAACTGAGGTTCATGCCCCTCTCTAATCTACAGCCTATTACTTTGGGTTCAGGCTGAAAATCCTTTTCGAGACTGAGGCAAATGTAGTTCAAACTAAGCTCTTCCCCCTCCCCCCCTCCCGGTGACAGTACTGGATAATTCCACAGTTTCCAACACCCACCTCCCTTTCCAAATCTAAATCATAGTATTTCATATCAAATTATTAAGGAAGGCAGATCTGAACAGAAAAAGATGTTTGTCTTTACCAAAAGGAAATATGGATTAAAAATGTTTCTAAAATGACAGAAACTGGTAAGAGTTTGTCTAGCACTAGAGCAGTAATTGTCTGTTCTTCCTTCAAGTTCTGGACATCTTCAGATTCTGTTTTCAGAAAGTGAAAACTTGAAAGGCTCAGGTTGTGGGTTGAACTGGACCAAGTAAGACAGAGTGGGTACTAAATGTTGAGAAACAATAGAGGAAAAGAAGTTGGAAGAGCACTCACACCTTGCCACGCAAGAAAATGGTCATGGTGTCTGTTGGGCTTCTAATAGGCCAATATTTTGAACATGTAGTTTCCCTAGGTAAAAATGGACAGTGTATGAAACATTGTCTAAAATATTATCAGAAAAAATGCTAGATGATGTAAACTGAACTACTGAGTTGTAAACATATTTCAGTGATCAAATGTGCAACTTTCTGAAGAAATCTGCAGAGAAAGATCAGTAAACATCAGAAAGTAGGGCAAATCTTAAGTTTTTTTTTCTTCAGAGATACTGATGGAATATTTTATTATAATTAGAAGATATTATAGCTTATCTTCCTTTGCTATATTCAACTTCATTGCAAAATATATACAGTACTGGTTAAAAACGAATGCCAATGCAGTGTGGAACCTCCCATATTTTCTTTCTACTTCTTTTCAGTATAAATACTTCCTAAACCCCACAAGTTCCTGTTTATTTGACTGTTATGGATTATAGTACAGAATGAGATCCTTAGCAGAATTTGAATTCATTTTCTGGACTATATTTTTGTGAGAATAATCACTGACCATGTTAGCATAGGGATACTTGGAACTGTGGATAATAAATTGTCAACCTCTGATTCCTACCCTGTTTCCCCAAAGGTAGTAACTACAAATACAGTGGTGCCTCACTTAACAACGATAATCCATTCCAGGAAAATTGCCGTTAAGCAAAAACACAGTAAAGCGAAATAAAAAGAACCAATTGAAACGCATTGAAGCCCGTTCAATGCATTCCAGTGGGGTAAAAACTCACTGTCCAGTGAAGATCCTCCATACGGTGGCCATTTTCGCTACCTGTATAGCGAGGAATCCGTCCCTAAGCACAGCAGGGAGCCATTTTAAGCACCCGGCAGCCATTTTGAAAACCCAACAATCAGCTGTTTTTGATTGTCGTAAAGCGAAAATTGGTTCCCGAAGCAGGGAACCGATCGTCGCTAAGCAAAATCCACCCATTTAGACCATCGTTTTGCAATCGCAAAAAGATAGTCATAAAGCGGATTCATCCAAATGCGAGGCAATTGTTAAGCGAGGCACCACTGTACTCAAATTCCTTATGCACATTTACTGAGACATAAAACTTGTTCAGCTAAGTAGGATGTATGTCAGAGTAAGCAAAAGTCATACCATGTTCCCTGTACAAATACTTGTAAAATTAGTTCTTTGAAACAGATGTTATAATTTCTTCATAACTGGTTGAAACCACCGTCCAGAAATTTAAGATTCACCACAACCATTAGTTCAAGAAGCATAATCTGAATAGAATCTGATTTTCCTGGAAGCTTAGAAAGAAGCGTCCTATGCGAGCTTGCTGATGTTGCTTGTTGACTATAGTTCCTGTAATCCCCGATCGAATATTCACTCATATGGCTTCATTGCTTCCTATGCAGTAATTTCAGTCAGTTCTGCAAACAGATTTCAACTGTCTGTAAACCAGTTAAAGCTAGGCTTTTCCACAGTTGCAACATTTACCCATTAATTGGGAGAGTGTTTTACTTATACAGCTGTAACACCTATCACACTTGGATGGTTTCACTTATTGGCAAATTGCATTGTAAAATTGGTTTCTCACAGAATAGTTGGCCCAAACTGTAACTGTGTGTTTTGCCTTGCGTATAGGTTCTATCAAGGCTAGAGATTTCCTTTCCTTTTTTTAAATGCAAGCTTAGAGTTAAGTCTTTTTACTGCCCTTGCTCTGAATCAGTGTTCAGATATGGGGAAGTTAATGAGCTACATTCAGGAAATTGAGTTACTGCTGTAGAAATATGTTGGGGTTTTCTTCACTTATAAATTTGTGAGATTCTAAGAATATATATAACAGAAATCAGTTTTTAACATATCTTATTTTAAATAAATTGCATTTTAAGTGCTTATTTAGCAAATAACCAATAGAAATAATAGGTGGTTGGTTCAGTTTAAATTTCAAGTCCTAAAACCAAGAACGTAATTTCTTCTATAACTTAATCCTTTCAGGATCTCTTGTACAGACGAACACGTGCTCTTGCAGACTATGAACATTCAAATAAAGCTCTGGATAAAGCTAGATTGAAAAGCAAAGATGTCAGGTTGGCAGAAGTACATCAGCAAGAGTGCTGTCAAAGATTTGAAAAAATTTCTGAATCTGGAAAACAAGGTAAAGCTGTGTCATGACAGCAAGAAGCTGTTACATTGGCTGAAACCTAGCAAGAAATTACAACTTAGGGGTAGGTTCTAGGTATCAATGGAACTTGCATATGTTTTGATTCACCAAATCATCACTCATTCAGTGGACCTGCTCTAGTTGCAACTTACTAGTATATTTCAGCCACTGTGCGTAAAGCTCTTTGTTGTAAGTACATTAAGTGTTTTAGCGGAGATTTCCTTCATCTGAATTTCAGGTCTGCAAGCTACAGTGGTACCTCGCTAAATGACAACCCCGCTAAACGACAAATCCGCATAATGAACTTTTTGCGATCGCTATAGCAATTCGCAAAACAGTCATTTCTACGGGGGATTTTCACTGGACGTCAATTAGGTCCATGCTTCGCGAACCATTTGTTCGCAAGACGACGATTTTTCCGGCTCTGCAAAATGGCTGCCCTGTGTTTTCCGGATCCTTGCTTTGCAGGGCAGCCATTTTTACAACTGATCGGCGCTCACAAAATGGCTTCACTATGGGTGATCTTCGCTGGACAATGAGGTATTTTCCCCATTGGAATGCATTAAACCCAGTTTCAGTGCATTCCAATGGGGAAAGGGTTTTCGCATGATGACGATTTCGCTAAACAGCGATTTTCTTGGGACGGATTATCGTCGTCATGCGGGGCACCACTGTAGTAGTTTTAACTCTGGCTAGTGACATACAAGCCAATAATAGCATTTTGTGTGATGGTGGTAGAGAATTGCACGATTGTGGTTCCATTTCCTAAGGGATGTAGAGAAAAATAAAACTGGTTCTAAGTGGTTGAAGGGGTGTCCCTTTTCTCTTTTGTGTTCTAGGAACAGTGTTCAGACTATAGGGGTGGCTTTATAATTATGTTAATAATTAACTAGTTGAGCCAACAAATTGGGAGTGAAAATAGGGTGAAACATGTCAGAAGTAGTAAGAAAAGAGATCTAGGAAAATTCGTAAAACTTCCAATGTGATCTTCATATTTTTTGTAAAGTAATGTTAAGGTGATATACCTGGCATAACTTTTGGAGGCAAATCCCCCCAAGTTAAGAAATCACCATAGACATTATCAGCTATGCATGGAATCACACAACTCAATATGCAACAAATAATGTCTACAGTCCTTAACTTGAGGCAGTTTGCCTCCAGTAGTTACACTGTGTTGTCCCAGCATAACGAGGAAGAGGGATTTGGACTATATATCCTAGGAAACTGGAGGTACGTTAGTACAAGGGACGTGGTGGCGCTGAGGGCTAAACTGCAGAAGCCTGTGCTGCAGGGTCAGAAGACCAAGCAGTCGTAAGAGCGCCCGTCGCTTGTCTCAGCTCCCGCCAACCTAGCGGTTTGAAAGCACGCAAATGCAAGTAGATAAATAGGGACCACCTCAGTGGGAAGGTAACAGCATTCCGTGTCTAAGTCGCACTGGCCATGTGACCACGGAAGATTGTCTTTGGACAAAACGCTAGCTCTGTGGCTTGGAAACAGGGATGAGCACTGCCCCCTAGAGTCGAACATGACTGGACAAAAATTGTCAAGGGGAACCTTTACCTTTACCTTAGTACAGGGACAGATACTCATCATTGGTATTAGACTGCTGTGCTAAGGGTTGGTTTGCATGTAGGTATGACATGATGATATTTACCCTGATTTATTTTTTATGACATGGTTTTGTGAAATCAAAAGATTACTGAATTTGCAGAAATGATCATCTCGCAGCAGCTGCCAAGATGGCTGTGTTAACACTAGAAATAAAAAAGTGTCCTCTGTATTGGAAGAATAATAGGGATTTAGCATGTATGGTACAGAAAATGTAATTTTTGCAATTTAGGAAATCTGGAACACTACCCTCACTGTTTCTCTCCATTTTCTCTCAATGGTAGAACTGAACAACTTCAAACAGAAACGAATTGCAACATTTCGTAAAAATCTAATTGAAATGACTGAACTAGAGATCAAACATGCAAAGGTATATATTCTGAGAGAAGACTTGCAGTTGGAGCCAATCATAGTACAGAAACTATTAGTTGGACTGTGTTACTTGGCCTGCGGTGTAGATGTTTGTATTTTTAGTGGGGGACTTTTAGTGGGTGGGGAGTGTTTGGGGAATTTTATGTGTGTGCATGTGTCTGATCTCTGGGTGTCTGAATTTCGTTGTATGGGTATACTGTGTATATACTTACAATGACAATAAATTATTATTATTATTATTATTCATAACAATACACAGGGGCTGGACTTGATGATCCATAGGGACCTTTCCAGCTCTGCAGTTCTGGTTATCATGATGTATACCGCTCAGTCTGGTTTTTCTTAGAGACAGTGAGATTTTCTGAAATAAGAGTGAAATAGGAAGAAAAACCAGGAAATAACTTGAGCTACTGACACATGCAAACATGTACTGTGTTTCCTCGAAAATAAGACAGGATCTTATATTAATTTTTGCTCCAAAAATGCATTAGAGCTTATTTTCGGGGGATGTTTTATTTTTTTCATGTACAAACATCTACATTTATTCATATACAGTCGTGCCATCTTATTCTGGTTGCTGCACAACAGTGGAGGGTGGGGTTTCACTTAACTGGGGCTTATTTTTGTAGTAGGGCTTATATTGTGAGCATCCTGAAAAGTCACACTAGGGCTTATTTTCAGGTTATGTCTTATTTTCAGGGAAATGGGGTATATGCATTTTGTGCAGTAAAATTAAGCTTTCAAAAGTTCCTAAATAAGCTATGTTGCTTTTGGGGCATGATTAATATTTGTAGCTAAATCCCATGAAAATCTATGCAATTCAGATTTGATACACAAACCTGCCTCATTCTGTTGGTTTCCTTTGGGTAATGAAGTCCTGCAAGCCCCAAGGCCGGGCTCGTCATGTCCAGCTATGCGGGGGTATCCGTATACAGGGACCCCTATCTCTAGTCCTTTTCGGTGAGGGTGGGTGGTACCTTTATTAGACAACTAAGAATTACAGACAGAACCTGTATTTCAACCTGTACATATCCTCATCAGGCTGGGCACCACAGAGCTGAGGATGGTGCAGAAAAGTTCCAGAAATTATGCCCAGATTCCTTTGTTAAAAGCAAGTTTCAAAATGGGGACTGCAGGTTCAAGTCAGAAATGTAGTTTTGGATTTCAATGAGTGGCGGCTCTCCGTTTAGAAAGAGTGGGGGAGGTATTTCAGTTAGTCCCAGCAGAAACTACAGATTTGTAGTTTCTCATCTGAAAATACAGGTCAAAAGATCACTTTTGTTTGTAGTTTTTAAGTAGTCTAATAAAGATATCACAAGCCTTTGGTTTGAATAGGGCTAAATTTTCACAACTGTCAAGAGTATATTATTAATGCATGTCCAGTCAAAAGCAGGGATGAGCAACTTATGGTTCTCCAGTCATTGTTTGATGGCAGCTCCTTTGATCCTTCACCATTGGCCTGGCTGCGTAGGGCAGCTGGTTGTTGTTGTTTAGTCGTGTCCGACTCTTCGTGACCCCATGGATCAGAGCACGCCAGGCCCTCCTCCTTCTACTGCCTCCCGGAGCTGGGCCAAATTCATGTTGGTCGCTTTGATGACACTGCCCAACCATCTCATCCTCTGTCGTCCCCTTCTCTTGCCCTCACACTTTCCTAACATCAGGGTCTTTTCCAGGGAGTCTTCTCTTCTCATGAGATGGCCAAAGTATTGGAGCCTCAGTTTCAGGATCTGTCCTTCCAGTGAACACTCAGGGTTGATTTCCTTCAAGATGGATAGGTTTGTTCTCCT